TTCCTCCCTCACAAGCTTGGACACGCACCCACGTGTACCCAGTGTGATTTTCAGGCCGCCAGTTCTGGGACTCCAACTGCGGCTGACCATATGGGAGTCCCGCGCCTTAGCTGCTGCGCCACCTGCTGGCCCCCATGAGTCCACCTCCTGTAAGACACCTACGTGTGTTCAGCATATGCTTTTCAGGTGTGTACTACACACTGCAGAAAGACAAATTATTACTGCAACAGAGAAGGGGGGAAGAGTATATAGGACATAATAAGTAGAGAAAAATAACTGAAACTGCTGTAATATGAGGTAGAATATCACCAATCATGATGCAAGTTTAAATTTTGCCATTTTAGTCTCCCCATTGGTCATTTAGCTTTACAATCCAGAGCTTTCTCTTTTTTAAAAGAATTATTTTATTTGACTTTACTTACTTACTTACTTCCATTTGACCAGAGAGGGACAGAGTGAGAGAGAGAGAGAGAGAGAGAGAGAGAGTGAGGGAGAGTGAGAAAGCAAGCTGTCAGGTCCAGGACTCGAACTGCGGTTGGTCATGTGTGAGTCCAGCGCCCTTAACCAACACCGCACCTGCCTTCCCCACATCACACTTTTTTGTTGTTGTTGTTGGAGAGATTTTCACTGTAGGGCGCGTGCGCTCGCCAGACAGAGAGAGACAGAAAGCGAGAAATCACCCCCCAGGGGGGATGGTCACGCCGCAATCCCTTCTCCTCCATTCTCCTCTCGGGATCTTGGGCACGCACGCACACGCGCCTGGCGTGAGTTTTAAGCCACTGGGTCCGGGATACGAACCGCGGTCGACTACGTGGGAGTCCAGTGACATAGCCATTACACTAACTGCTGGTTCCCCTCTCTTAAAGTTACTTTACACAGGCCAGCTGGTGGGGTGGTGGTCAAGGCAGCTGCATCACACATGGCTGACTGTGTGATCTGTGTCCCAGGCCCAGCTGCTTGGAAAGTGTGCTGGGAGGGGCCAGCAGGTGGCGTAGTGGTTAAGGTGCTGGATTCCCATGTGGCTGACTGTGGTTTGAATCCTGGGTCCAGAGGTTTGAAACTGACACGGGGGTACGTGCACGCATGCCCCAAATTCCAGGAGAATGGCCAAGGGGTTGCAGTGTGGCCATACCCTTGAGGGGTGATTTCTTGCTTTTTGTTTCTCTTTGTCTCTGGAGAGCACACACACCCTATAGCAAAAATCTCTAAAAACAAAAGAAAAGAAAAGCATGCTGGACACTTGTGTGTGCTTAAAATCTCCACAGGAGAATGGAGAAGGGATTAACTGCACTGTGGCCATCCCCTCTGGGGGATGGCAGCTGGGGGTCGGAGCTCTCTCAACCCTGCCTAGTCTCTCTCTGGTGAGTGCAGGCACCCACGGTAAATTTTTAAAATTACTTTACGCTGCAATATGTATCTGAAACCAACTGGCCTCTTTGCCTGTTACTTTGCTCAATGGAGAATCACTGTATAGTTTGTCATTTGAGTTCCAAAAAGTCTCATATTCTGACAACTCATTTTGCACACATCCACATGAATTCTCATATAACCGAAGATCTTAAAAAGCAAATAAAACCAACAAAAAACCTATAGAAACGGCAGGCTATTTGCATTTTAGTGCAAAACAAGAAACATATACTTCACAGTGACACTTCAAATACTAAGACATTTCACACTGGATGATCCTTGAATTCATAAATGCAGTGAATTAACAGAGACAGAAAACAATTTGCAATTAGCAAAGCACAAGGTATAAAGACAAGTCATTTCAGGGCCCAACAGGTGGCATGGTGGTTAAAGGCACTGGACTCCCAATGGCCAACCACAGTTCGAGTCCCAGACCTGACAGCCAGCTTTCTTACTTTCCCTCTCTCCGTTTCTCTCTGTAGAGATTAGGTGCCCTATAGCAAATTTTAAAAAATAAAGAAGAATAAATAAATAAAAACTTTAATAAAGGTCATATCAGTGATTTTTCCCCTAAGATTTGGGTAGATAAAATATCTTGTTTTAGAGAGTAGGTAATGAAATCACCCGTCCAATATGACCACCACTCAGAACGCTGCATTGAGTCGTCAGAACTGAGCCTTGATCTTGGGGACAAGTGTGTACCAAAGAAGAAATCCTTCAAGCAGAAGTTGTCTGCTAGCTGTGCAGTGCTGCAGCCCTCGTGTACTTTCCCTTATTGACAACAGTGCACAGGACTAGACAAGCAGAGGTAAAGAGGAGGGTGCCTCCTTGGCTGGAAACGCACTCCTTTCCTTTTGCTACCTTTCCACTTGTCGGCTCTGTACCCAATAGGCACGCATTTCATGAGGCAGTACCAGCGTGGAATCCACACATGTTCTCACTCTAACTTATTAGCATGTACAGCACACTGGTTCTCAAGCGTTAGTGAACCACAGCTAGCCCACTGCCTGTTCTTGTAAATAAAGTTTTATTGGAACGCAGCCATGTTCTTTCATTTCTATATCGTCTACGGCTGCTTTCATGTTACTACTTTGGGCCTAATATTTACTAGCTAGACGTTTACAAAAAAATGTCTGCCCATCTCCACTGGAAACGAACATTGCATTCCTGGTAAAACCAACTGCTGGGCATGTTTACCGCAGTCTGGGAAGTAACTGAGCTGAGCTTCCTCAGGGAGAGTTCCCAGCACATGTAGACGACTCCAGCTCAGATGCTGGCCTCGCAGCAGCAATGGGGACAGTGCAGCAGCACCGCCTGTGAGCATCATGGGCAGCACACTCTGCAGGGACCCACGGGAGGACTGCTCCTGGCCAGCCTCGCAGCACAGCGGGCGGAGGGCGCCAGATCCCACACGCGACGTTGTTCAGATCCTGGCCCTGGCAGCTTGAGAAACGGGCTGGGCGCTCCTGTGTGTGTGCCCTAAACCCTGACGGGATGGAGTAGAGGGCCTGACAGGCTGTGGTATAAACACAACGCATGGCTTTCCCTCTCTCACTTTCTCTATTTCCTTCTCTCTCTAGAGAGCACGTGCACCCCCTAGCAATAGAAGGGAAAAATATATATATACACATAGAGAATTAATTTTTGTTGCATAAAGTAAAATGTATGCATTGTTCTGTTTCATTAGGTGTCAAGGGTGGCCCATGGCCTCGTGGTTAAAGATCCTAGATGGCTGGCCACATGGTTTGAATCCTGGCCCCAGAGACTTGACAAACATCAGGTCCGCGAGCACGCATGCCCAAAATCTGATGGGACAGAGAAAGAGAGAAGGGAGTGTGGTGTGGCCATGCCCCACGGGAAGTGCTTTCTACCCCTCTCTTACTCTGTCTCTCTCTGGGGCGCTCATGTACCTTATGGCAAATTAACAACAACAACAACAAAAATGTCAGCCAAGCTACAGTTTTAAAATTCCAGAGCTGATCAAATTAAAGAGCGCTATCGCTGGCTCATACTTGCGGATTAGCTCCACCACAGAGACACTTCCAAAGGTTTAGTAAACACCTCGGCTGTGCAGGGGCCCCATTCTTGTGGACAGCCTCACTCAGGGCTCCACACACACCTCAAAGCCAGCACGTCTTCTAGCACAGGGTCTATTCCCAACTTTGTAGCGAAGCTCCCGGCCATCCATCAGGAACCTCCGAGTCGTTTTAGTCTCACCTTCGCATTAAATCAGCCACTAAGCTCTGCGGGCTTCTCCTTCCATCTATTTCTCAATCTCGTCCCCTCCTTTTCATCCCTCTCATTCCCGTGACAGTTTGTAACACAAGGGTTTTTTGCTAGACTACTCTTAATAGTCTTCTGGTATTTCTGCCATTAGACATGTTCCTATTTTATCTATCCTTCAAAATGCAGGGCCCAGCAGGTGGTGTGGTGGTTAAGGCGCTGGATACTCCCACATGGCTGACCATGGTTCAAGTCCTGGACCTGGTGGCTTGCTTTCTCTCTCTTTCTCTTTCTCTGAGTCTCTCTCTCTCTGGTCAAATTAAAATAAACAAATGAATAAATAATTCTTTTTAAAAAAATGCAATAATGCCAGAAAATGATCTGAGGAAGCCTTGAAATCTGATTTCATCTCATAGGATAAAAGGGAGGCACTCGGAGAGAAGGGAAACGTAAGCAACAAGTGCACCTGGGCGAGCACGATCCGGAAAGTGCTCGGCACGTCCGAAGGGCCAAATGCTGTGTTTGCAGGGAAGTGATGACAGATAGGCTGGGAAAACTAGTCAGCAAGTGGCCATGAAGCCCTCTGTGAGCCGAAAACTCTAATTCCACTTCATTCCGTTTCCTAGGCCCACCAAAAATCCCTGCTGCAGACAATGTGCAAGAGGAAGAGAAGACAGCTCTGCAGAATCACGTAGGGAACGACGCTGCAAGAATTACGTTCCTATTTACTGCACGTGCCGACCGCCCCCCGCGAGGCTGCTGAAGGCGGGCTGTTCAGAAACGTAGAGAGTTCCCGAGCCACAGGAGCTCCCATGCCCCCTTCCCTTTCCGAGCCCCACATCAAGTCACCGCATCCTCTAACTAAACGCTGTATCTCTTTCCTGGTCCCACGTGACCTCCACCCCTCCCTCTGAGCCGTCACTCGTTTCGCTCTGAGTGCAGGGAGTGATCGAGCTGGCTATGGGGAACCTGAGAACCCAGCCCTGACCCCAACGTGGACGACCTGAACTCAATGATCACACTCCTTGGGCTCTGGAACTGCCAAGGATGCCAGTGCGCATGGAGGAGGTGAATGGGGAGACCACACCCATCTGCCTTGGTAGCTGAGGTCTGCAATGAAGGAGCCTGAGCGCTCCGAGAGGGCGATGCACAAACCAGGCTGGTTTTATCACTGCTTCTCGTCCCTGGTACCAGCTAGACCCGTGTGCACTTAAAATAGCTTTAGGATTCTACGCCAGAGTTCCAAAAGGAGCACCTGAAAAGCTCTGAGCAGCAAAAGGCAAATCTCGCCAGTACTGCAGAAGCAGACCTAGTGTGAGGTCCGGAAGCAAGGAGGGACGCACACGGCCCGTGGCGGGCGGAGCGCTCACCTGCCGGATCGACATGGTACAGAGGATGTACAGGAAGATGAAGGAGCAGTCTGTTGTGTCATCCCCCAGCAGGTTTCGGTGAGACAGCCCTTGGATGTAGGAAAGGGGTGTGAAAGGGAGCTTGGCCACCACTCTACCATCAAATCTAGAAAGGAAAAAACAAAGAATTGTTATTTTTGGAAGACTAACAAGTTTTTTATTTCCAGAGAAGGACCTGGGACAGGAACAGATTGTTAAGTCCCTTGATCTGTGAAAAACAAAGAAAGGTGCCACGCTAGTAAGAGACCCGAACGAAATACAGGGGTGTGAGGGAGGTCCCGGATTCCACCCCCCGCATGTTCCCAAACTAGTGCTGCTCAGCTTTTTTTTTTTTTTTTGAGAGATTATTTTGCTATAGGGCGTGTGCACTGCCAGAAAGACAGGGAGAGACAGAAAGACAGAAAGTGAGAAATCACCCCCCGGGGGGATGGCCACACCGCAATCCCTCCTCCTCCATTCTCCTCTCGGGATCTCAGGCACGCACGCACATGCACCCGGTGTGAGTTTAAGTCACACTGTCCAGGACTCGAACTGCGGTCAACTATATGGGAGTCCAGCAGCATAACCATTACACCAACTCCTGGTCCTGCTTCTCAGTTCTTTTTTTCAGTTTTTGCTATATGGATGCATACTCACCAGAGAGAGAGAGAGAGAGAGAAAGAGAGAGAGAGAGAGAGAAAATGAAAAATCACCCCCCAGGGGAATGACCACGTCACAATCCTCTCTTCCCCATTTTCTTCTCGGGATCCTGGGCATGCACGCACACATGTCTGGTATGTTTTACAAGCCACCGGGTCCGAGACTTGAACTGTGCAGAAAGTCATGTAGATGTAATCACTACGACATCTGCAAGCCCAAGACTCCATTTTAAGAGTAAAAACATTTTTGGGGAATCAGCAGATGGTGGAGTGGTTATGTCACTGGACTCCCACATAGTCAACCATGGTTTGAGTTCCAGACCCAGTGGCTTAAACTCACGCTGGGCACGTGTACATTCATGCTTAAAATCTCAA